GCTCAAGTGATCCTCCTGCCTCACCCTCCCAAGGCGCTTACAGGTAAGCGCCACCATACCTGGCTAATTTTTGTATTTTTAGTAGAGACGGGGTTTCTCCATGTTGGCCAGGCTGGTCTCGAACTTCCAACCTCGGGTGATTTGCCCGCCTTGGCCTCCCAAAGTGCTGGGATTACAGGCGTGAGCCACCATACTGGCCGGTTTGTGTCGTGTTTTAAGGCATGAGTGCTGTTTGCCAATATGTTAGCTTCCTGGTGCTGCCATAACAAATTACTGCAAACAACGGTGGCTTAGAACAACCAAGCCGAAAGGGCAGCTACTCTGGCAGCTGAGGTGGGAGGATCGCCTGAGCCTGGGAGGTTGAAGCTACAGCGAGCCGTGATTGCACCACTGCACTGCGTCCTGGGTGACAAGGCGAATTCATGTTCCCACCTAGTCTTGACTACTTGGACGATCCGGCCACACCAGCAGTGTCCCCACCAAGCTGCTGACCCTTAAATGGCCCGTGTGCCCCTCCCACCTAGTCCCACCAGGCTCTGTGGTCTCACTCAGCCTGTGCTGCTCGTTTACATGAGGCCTGGCCTGTGCCTGTGAGCACTGTTCAGTTAGTAACTGTTTATCAAGTGTAGACTGTCCCAGGCTCTCTGCTAGGCCCTGAGGGTAGAGCAGTGCACAGAAATAAAGTCCTTTCTCTTAAGGAGCTTCCCAGTGTCATGGGGGAAGGTGTAATCGTGGGAAGTCATCAGGTGAGTGCATCTGTGTCCCATGCTGGGAAGCACGGAACAGAAAATGAAGCAGGGAAGAGCGAGGGAGAAGGGAGAGGTGTAGGGTCTGTGTGTGGTCAGGGAGTCTCCCTGACAGCTGGCACGTAAGCAGAGGCTTAAGTGGAGTGAGAGGAGCTATCTGTAGGAAGGGCATTTCAGGGAGTGGAACAGCAGGTGCAAAGGCCTGAGGCAGAGAGGTGTGTGGCCCTGGAGTCCTGACCTCTGGGGACTGAGGTGGGGCCTCTGGGTCTGAAGTCTCTGCTGTCTCAACAGGAAGCCTGACGAGGTGGTGGCCCCAGGCCAGGAGAAGATCAGCAGCCTCAGCGGTGCCCACCGGAAGCGTCGCCGCCAGCCCTCAGCTGAGGAGGAGGAGGAGGAGGAGGAGTCGGAGCTGGAGGGGGAGTCAGAGCTGGATGAGGACCCGGCTGCTGAGCTGGCTGAGGCTGGTGCGGGGACCACCGTGGCACCTCTGCCGCCAACTCCAGCACCCAGCTGTCAGCCCGCGCCGGCTGGGATGCCTGTTCCTCCTCCTCCAGCCGCAGCACCCCCACTGCCCAGGGCCCTGGCCAAGCCTGCTGTCTTCATCCCTGTGAACCGCTCCCCGGAAATGCAGGTTCGCTACCCTGTGCAGAGGTTTGATCTCAGCTGACTGCAACCTCCGCCTCCGATGCTCAAGTGATCCTCCTGCCTCACCCTCCCAAGGAGCCTGGGACTATGGGCACGCGCTACTGTGGTTGGCTAACTTTGTATTTTTTTGTAGAGTCAGGGTTTTGCCATGTTGCACAGGCTGGTCTTGAACTCCCATGCTCGGGCAATCTGCCCACTTTGGCCTCCTAAAGTGCTGGGATTATAGGCATGAGCACCATGCCCGACCTTCACCGCTGTTTTAAACGTTCTTGTCCCTCTCCTATGAGCGCGTGTGCAGAAGTTTCTCTTGAGCAGTGTTTGCAGATGACGTCATAGCCATCTTTGGGTCATGAATTGAGTAGCTTTTAATCTTTTCTTTCTTTTTTTTTTTTTTTTGAGACAGTGTCTTGTTTTGCCTGCCAGGCTGGAGTGCAGTGATGTGATCATAGTTCACTGCAGCCTCTACCTCCTGGGCTCAAGCAGTCCTCCCACCTCCGCCTCCTGAGTAGCTAGCACTACAGATATGTGCCATCATACCTGGCTAACTTTTTTATTTTTATTTTTTTGTAGAGACAGAATCTGGCTATGTTGCCCAGTCTGGTCTTGAATTTCTGGCCTCAAGCAATCCTCTGCCTTGGTCTCTCAAGTCTCTGGGATTACAGGTGTGAGCCATCATGCCTGGCCTCATATTTAAAAAAAAAAAAAAAAAATGGAGGCCAGGCGCAGTGGCCCACACCTGTAATCCCAGCACTTTGGGAGGCTGAGGCGGGTGGATCACTTGAACCTGGGAGATGGAGGTTGCAGTGAGCCAAGATCACACTATTGCACTCTACCCTGGGCAACAAGAGTGAAACTCCATCTCAAAAAGTAAATAAATACAACAAGTGGAATAGAATAGAATAGAAATAGAGCAAAATTAAGAATATGAGCTTGTTGGCCAGGCATGGTGGCTCACGCCTGTAATCCCAGCACTTTGGAAGGTGGAGGCGGGCAGATCACCTGAGATCAGGAGTTCAAGACCAGCCTGGCCAACATGGTGAAACCCCATCTCTACTAAAACTACAAAAACTAGCCGGGCGTGGTGGCATGTGCCTGTAATCCCAACTACTCAGGAGGCTGAGGCAGGAGAATCACTGGAACCTGGGAGGCGGAGGTTGCAGTGAGCTGAGATCGCGCCACTGTATACGCATTAGGGTGAGCCATGTTTCACAGAACTGTTTCTTCCATATATGATACATATATGTGTCTGTGTGTGTACTGAGTCATGATATAAAATGTGTTTCTTTTCATGACTCATAGGAAAAAATGTAGAAGGCACCTGCTCTGGAATATGTGCCTAGGAGAGGAACTGCAGGGCCACACACCCTTGACTTTGAGAAAATTTGCACCAGATTATTTGTCAAAGTGACTATGCCATTAATTGAGACTCCCGCCAGCGACAGCTGAGGGTTCCCATATCTCTGAGAGACTGCTCTGCCCCAACCAGGCTGTGCCTGGTTCACACCATTCTCCTGCCTCAGCCTCCCAAGTAGCTGGGATTACAGGCACCCATCACCATGCCCGGCAAATTTTTTTGTATTTTTAGTAGAGACAGGGTTTCACCACGTTAGCCAGGATGGTTTCTATCTCCTGACCTCGTGATCCGCCCGCCTCGGCCTCCCAGAGTGCTGGGATTACAGGCTTGAGCCACCGCGCCCAGCCAGGAGACAGGGTTTCACCATGTTGGTCAGGCCGGTCTCGAAGGATGTGATGAGGTCAGGCCTGGTATCCCGAAGGATGCGGTCCCTGTCTCTGTCTCACCTGGACCATGGCTCCTGGTCCCCTCCCCAACTGTCAAGGCCTCCTTCCCCAGCAAGCACATCTGTTCAGCACCCACGTGTCAGCTGCCACCTTCCTGGAGGTCACATCACTGTCTGTCGTCTCGCTGCTGCCCAAGTGCTGACTTCGTCTCCTTGCAGGAAGAACGGCTGAAGCTCCCAATTCTCTCTGAAGAACAAGTGATCATGGAGGCTGTGGCCGAGCACCCCATTGTCATCGTGTGTGGCGAGACCGGCAGCGGGAAGACCACACAGGTGCCTCAGTTTCTCTATGAAGCAGGCTACAGCAGGTAGGGGCTGGACACAGTGTTCTCTCTAGGTCCCTCAGTGACACTGGAGATGCCCCGCAAGGTTGATAAGAGCCTGGGGCTCCCTGGGATCTGATCCTGGATCTGCCCTGTGCATGCTGTGTGACTTCAGACAAGTTACTTAACCTCTCTGGGCCCCAGCTGTGAGATGGGAATAATGGCACCTACTTCACAAGGTTGTCATGTGGATTAAATGAGTGAACTTGCGTAGCACACTTTATCCCTGGCACATAGAGCTATGTGCTTCCTATTTTCTTTTTTCCTTTTTTTTTTTTTGAGACAGTGTCTCACTGTGTCGCCCAGGCTGGAGTACAGTGGCGTGATCTCAGCTCACTGCAAGGTCCGCCTTCCAGGTTCACGCCATTCTCCTGCCTCAGCCTCCCGAGTAGCTGTGATTACAGGTGCCCGCCACCACGCCTGGCTAATTTTTTTGTATTTTTAGTAGATATAGGGTTTCACCACGTTAGCTAGGATGGTCTCGATCTCCTGACCTCGTGATCCGCCCACGTCAGCCTCCCACAGTGCTGGCATTACAGGCGTGAACCACTGTGCCCGACCAAGAGACGGGGTTTCACCATGTTGGTCAGGCTGGTCTCGAACTCTTGACCTCAGGTGATCCACCCACTTTGGCCTCCGAAAGTGCTGAGATTACAGGCGTGAGCCACCGCGCCCGGCCTGTGCTTACTGTTTTCACTGTGTAGCCCCCTGTGGGCACTTTTGACCCATGTTTGTTGGGGTCCCCAAGACCGTGTGCAGGTTTGATAACTGGGGACTTCCGGGACTCAGCTTGTTATCCCGTGCATGGCTATAGTATGTTACAGCAAAGGACGCGAGCGGCAGAGGGCAGTGGCACCTGTGGTGTTCGGGGGAAGCCCAGCTCCAGCTTCCAGAGTCCCCTCCCGGTGGACTCACACAGGACACACTGGATTCTCCAGTGGCCACCTGTGGCCACACAGGAACTACCCTGCACCAGGGAAGCTTGTTAGAGATTCAAGGTTCACGGCTATTATTGGGGTAGCCTAAGCCCACCCTGCCTGGCAGGAACGAAATCCTAGATGCCTAGAAGGAAAGCAGGTGTCCAGCATAAACCACCTTGTTTGCACAAACAGCCTGAGCACGGTGGGCCCGCACTTACAGGGAATGGAAGGAGCTCTCCTGTTGTCCAGGTTCAGGCACCCAGCGAGGACCAGCCCTGTCAGCAGCCTTTCGAGGGAGAGCAGCCCCAGGCCTGTGGCATTAACGTTCCCACAGAGTTGGGACCAGCCACCCGTCGGCTTGGCGGGTTCCTGTGTCTGGAGGAGCTTGTGCTTGACTGGGGCAAACAGAGCTCCCAGCCTGGTTCCCCCAGGCCCCGTTCCTTCTAGCGGCTGCCTGGTGTCCGCTGCACCATGAATGTTGAACCGTTTTCTGTGTGTTGTTGGCATTTGGGCTGTTCCCTTTGCTGTTAAAAGTAGTGCAGCCTGGCCTTGTTTCCCATGGCCCCTGGGCGAGCACTAGGTCAGTACGGTGAATCTTGCTGTGGAACTGCATGAGGCTTTGGGATGAGCAGGTGGGGCCATGCACTGTTGATGGCCATGTTCTTCCTCCCCCAGTGAAGACAGCATCATCGGTGTCACAGAGCCCCGCCGAGTGGCCGCCGTGGCCATGTCCCAGCGAGTGGCCAAGGAGATGAATCTGTCCCAGCGGTGAGGGCTCTACTTCCTGGGGGGAACTATGGGGTGGTCCTGTGGCCTTGCCCAGACCTCCTGGGAAGCCCAGGAGGAGGTGAGCGGCATCTGTGCTGAGGGTGCTGGGTGGAGTGTCACCTCTGCATGTAGCACTGGGAATCATTGTGGGAGACAGCTTTCCAGGACCTGCCCAAGCAGACAGCCTTCAAGCAGGCCCTCGGCTTACATCCTGCACAGTATGCGGAGGGGACAGAGTGGCCCATCCAGGGGCTCGAGAACAGAGCAGGGGGCCAGATGCAGGCAGTCACGGAGCTAGTACCTAGCATTGCTGGGTTAATGTAAAACTCAAGGTTCTAAAGTACAAAATCTTGGCTGTGTGTGGTGACTCACGCCTGTAATCCCAGCACTTTGGGAGGCCGAGGCGGGCAGATCACCTGAGGTCGGGAGTT